TTATGAAAAGTTCGTTATATCGAGGGTAATTATGATGAAGGGACCTCAATCTTTGGTCGCAATAACGAGAGTTCGTTGTACCGGGGTTCGTTATACCTAGAACATTTGAAAGGAATTTGTTAGGCAGAATCAAAGGGACCAGACATTTAGTCCGTTATACCGAGAAGTTCGTTATATCCGGGGTTCGTTATATCGGGTTTCCACTGTATTAAATATACTGGTATTTGCAGATTTATATTCAGTATGTTTTGCATAAAATCATATTGTTTTTAGTTCAGGATTTCTTTTGAAAGCCATCGCATTAATGTCAATCTTGAATTTCCGCTTACAGTTGATCTTAAGTGATCTTAAATGTACTGATCAAGTTTTAACTTGCATCACTGAATCCAAGCGCATCCAAGTCATTTTTTAGTGAAACATCGTGATGAAGTTAATTTGAATAAAGCAGCGAAAAAATCTGAAAAGTAAAGTTTTGCAAACGAAAAAATGCCTAAGACACAGTAAAAAGCATGTATTCAACGCGTTCAAATGGTTCGATGCCCTCTTTCTATGCTGTTTTTATGCTTTGCCGGTGAACCAAGAGTGAAATTTTTGAGCATAGACCAGAACATGAAAAAGATTTTCCTTTCCGCGACCGGATGAAAATCATGCGTAAATTACCTGCCAGAACGGGGAGATTAAAGAAAAAAGAGGCAGGTTCCAAAAAAAGTAATGTCACAAGTTTTATGAAAATGAAGCATTAGCTGGTAGAGGTACATTGGTTCAAGCAGTTTAACTAACACTTCAAAAAAAAAGAGGCAGGTTCCAGAAACAGTAATGTCACAAGTTTTATGAAAATGAAGCATAAGCTGGTAGAGGTACATTGGTTCAAGCAGTTTAACTAACACTTCAAGACCATTTTCTGCTTTGGTGACTGAAATTTATTCCTTATTTATAAATTCCTTAGTTGATTTTGCTTAGCCATAATACTGATTTCCTAACTTGTGAGAGCATTTTCTATCAGAACTTTACTAGAATGCAGATGAGTACAATTGCAGATCGCATTGGGGTAGTTGTTATCTTTGGGTGATGGGAGCAGGCTTAGAACAAATAAAATTTAAAAATGGGCCTGAATAGATCAATCACGTGGCGTTCTTGTATTTACGGAAGTTTTTAATAAAACATTATTTAGTTGGATTTTTTTAATGTTTGCAACGCTTAAGTATGAAAAAATCTACCCGGTGAAAAGTACGAGGAAGAACATTTTGAAGAGCTCTCTCCTATTGTATAACTCAAAATGATAATTGAAGAAGTAAAAAAAAGCTTTATTACGGTATCATTAAACACAGGTCTGTCAAGCATTTGCTGTAATTATAGGGGCAATGTTTGTTTGCAAAGAGTTTCGAATGAAAAGGCTTGTAAAGTTTAAATGAGTCTAATTATCTGTAATGTGTATTTAACAATACCAGAAGATTTTCAAAGTAAACAATAATCTTCTTTTCTTTTTCCAGTAAGCTACGTTATTTAAAAATTTCATCAGTAAATCAATCGTAGCCTATTTTCTGGGCCCTAGTGTTAATTGTAGCAGATACTGTTTTTGCATCCGTTTGTGTATGCTTTCCTACATTTGCATAAAGACACTTTTCCCTTCCTTTCTTCTCACCGTGAGATGCATTATCAAATTCCTCATGAAAAGCGTACAAATGTTTACTTTAGAAACGCAGAGCACATGATTGGTAACATCTGCATACTACTCACCATTTTGCTGACACCCACCACCCAACTGTGAAATTATTACTGAAAAATTTAAAAATAAAATGACGAAATTCGAATTTTGCTTATTTCCAAGCGAATTACTGATTTAATTGGTATTTATGCCGTTCTTATGCCACCTATTGTTCCTATTGGTCCTGATTGAGGTGTTGCTAGCACCAACCATTATTACTACCTCTCATCTGATTCAACCTAATACAAAAAGCTTCCCTCTTTACTAAGATTTGTTACTGACATCAAACGTAAATATTTTTTAGATTTAACAGAAATGATGCGTTTAGGCCTGGATACTTAACGAATATTTACTGCACGATCAAATTTCAATTATTAAATCCAAAGCTTTTTTATCAGTCTAATTTTCAGCTGAAGGGGATTAAAGATTGTGCAAGGGTGCAGAATTTGCAGATTTCTTTATAAAACTGATGTAATCTTTGACGAATGATAAATTGTAACCGATTGCTAGATAATTCATGTTAACGTGTATAAAACACAAGTGATATAGGTTGATATTTCTAATTTCATGCTTAGTGCTGTGATTAGGCAACTTTTACTGTGTAGCAATAAATAACACGTATAACATTAGATAATGACTCTGATAAAAATACAATATCGTTGCCCCTACCTCTTGTAATATCTTTCAAAACCTCAGCGATATCACGTCTTCCACGATATCACTAATTAAAGGGTGCGATCATTCACAAAGCCAACGTTCATAATAGCACTTCGTGTTCTGAAGAGTCGGTTTGAGAAGACCCTGTGTAAACTTTGCTATCTTTATCAATCATTGTTATTATTATTACTTTAACGATGCAATCACTTCAGGAATCCACCAATTTTAGGACACCATCACTTGAATCATATCAATACTTTCACGATACCGCCACGATACCGATTCACGATAAGATCATTTTAATGATGTCATCACTTTCTCGATATACCTCCTTTAATATACGTTCACTTTCACGATACGATCACTCTAATGTCAAGATACAAACACTTTCACGATAGGGTCATTTCAACAATACGACCACTCTAATGATACCATAACTTTCACGATACCAACGCTTGCGTGCCAGCACAAAGCGTGTTTACGACGTCTTGGGAACAATGAGAAGATCAAATATGGCTATTTTTTATGTAATTCACTTCTTGATAAAAGCCTGGAGATGGCTGTGGGTTTAACTTGATGAAAAAGGAAGGAATTCGAATTTTGATGATGTCAGGCACCTGTTCAGTACCAAAGTTGTTCTCACGCCGTAGTATTGCATAATTTTCCTGGCGATGCGCTCCTATATCTCTTGATATCTCTAAGTCTCTTTCTTTTGAGTTTGCTGTGCTTATCTTTGTTATTGAGGTAAACCCTACTGAAACCTAATTCTCTCAAAAATATATTGATCTGTTTTCAACCATATCCAGAGCAACATGTAGGAATCATAAACTGATAGCCAGTTGTAACACTCAACCGCTTTCAAAAAATTATTTTCATGTTTCCAAAGCAAAAATACACAACACATCTAATATTCAATGATAGCATATTGACGGAAAGATAATTTTTTGGGGTATTTGTTACTAAATTGGTATGCTGCAGCTGGCCTACACATTACTATATGTGCACTCTTTACCAGGACTTTATTCTAAAGAATTCAGGAATATACTGAATACCGGATTTGTTCACAGTTATGATGGGGTTCGATAAAGATTTTTGCAAATTTTTGGTAAAGCATTTTTTGTCCTGTCGTCGTAATTACTGATGAATCATGTTTGATTAGAAATTGAGATTGTATATTAAGCTTGATTAAATAAAATCTAGTCACGTTTAATATGTGACAAGGTTTGCCTTTTTGGTTGCTTTTTGGCTTTAGTTTTTGGCACAGATGGCACAATTGTACAGTTTGTATTCACTGTAGCAATGATGGAAAAAGCGTTACATATCGTGTTTTTCATAAGGCCATAGCAACTCTCGTGCTGTGCACTGGCTTTCGATGTATACACTTTTTGTTTGTATTTTATTTATCAAAATGTACTATAAACATTTCAGCAACAGGGTAGAACCGGGGTGGCTGCAATTTTAGGATATGTTGTAAGTTTTGTCAAATTTGATCGGGAAGAGTAATTTAGGCAAAAAGAGTTTTAAAACATCTTGTCAGTAAAAATAATAACTTTAACTTTGTTAAGAGTTTACTTGGACTCAAGCTGGAAATACCTTTTTTTCAGATGAACAACGTAAGCAAGTTTCAAAAACGTGTTTGAAGACACCATCTGTCATCAAGGTAAGTTTTTTAACGCATATGCTTTATATTGCGCCATGGATGGAAATTTTTTTTAACATCAGCTATGTTCTTGAGCTGCCTCTCTGTCTTTTCTTTGATAACTACCAGTGTAATTCTGTTGTTTTGACAATCATCTTCGGATATTTTAGGGCACACAGTTACTGACTACCAGTTTTATAGATATATTGATAAAAACATGAACTTAAACCCTGTGAGCCCAACTTTTACTGTGACTTGGACTCCAGTGAAACTAACTTAGAAACCAGTTAAGATAGCTTGAAACCTGATGAATCGTACTTATTATCCGTTGAAACCAACATTAAAACCTGGAAACGAACTTTAAACACGATGAAAACAGCTTGAAACCCAGTGAAAATAACTTCTAACTCGGTAAAAAAAACTTGAGCCATCGAAACTAACTTTAAATTGTTGAAACTAACATGAAACCCAATAAAACTCACTTGAAACCTGTTAAAACTAACTTGAAACCTGTTAAAACTAACTTGAAACCCGGTGAAAGAAACTTGAAACCCATTGAAACCAACCTACAGCCTTAAACACCTTGAAACCAACCTGAAACCCGTTGAAACCAACCTGAAACCCGTTGAAACTGCAGTATGTTGCAACCAGTTTTCAAATTAAATTGAATTTATATGTTTACTTATCTGTATCATAAATAATTCTGTGCAATTTAAATTCGAATCGCTTCTGATTGGCAATATTTCTATATACCAATAACAGTCATTTTGAATCTGATAAAAAAGCAACCTCCACTACTTACATTATAGTTCTCTAAATGCAGCTTTCAATTAAAATTGCAATTTCAATATTTGACATTTGTCATATTCACAAAGATGTAAAGAAAATTGCACTTTCAGCATGTAAAGTATAGGACAAACTACCGCATATATGCAAAGATATACCTTCATACACTTTGTCGCAAGATATAAATTATAGATATTCAAGATATCAAGATATCAATATTCTAGACCAAGGTTGGATTTTCAATCCCTTCATCATAACAAGTCTCGTAAATAATTTCATTTTGCAAAGTCTTTCGGACATTTCCTTTCTCTGGCCTTATTGCTTTCGCGATGTAATATTGAGAAGTTGTCCCCTTCTTGCTTTGCTGTATGCGTACATTGGCTTGATCTCTGTACCAAGGATGCAAAAGATCTGATTTAGCATTACTCACTTTTTCCTCGGTGGCATCGCCTTCAGTAGCTTGAATAGTTGGCAAGCGTTGAAGGGATCCTCGAATGCTTGTTTTTCTCAAAGGAACCGTAGCATCTGTCTTTTCTGGCTCCTTTTCGGATGTACTTTCGTTTTCACTTGTAATGCTCTTCTGTGATGTTGGACTTTGATGCTGATCTTGTGTCTTTTTTATTCGATCTTCTCCGTCAATCTTTTCCGTTTCAACGATGACGTCATCGACTAGTGAGGCTGTTACCTCTTCTCCATACGACTCATCCTGAGAAAATGATGCCGTGAGAAAAACTTCTGTGTCGAATGAGTTGACACCGGAGCTCAGTTGAGATGGTGTTGGATGGTCGCTTGACATGATAGAGCATTCAAAGGAGCTGTTTCTAGTTTCAATAGAGCTCTTTCGTGTCATTATGCTGTCTTCATCCAAATCTGACCTGGACACTCTGATCAGTGTTGGTGCTGAGAAGTAGCTATTATTAATAAACAGGCTTACTTTCTTTAAAGCCGACTCGAAAATCTTACTACTCTCCGACTTTATACTAAAGCAGTCATCTTCGGTACCATTAACCGGAACTGTATCAGTCTCTGATTCACGTTCAATGCTGCCAACTAACAAGCTTTTTATAGTATTTGCTGAATTGCTTATTGATTGCACTATGTTCACTAATTGAAGCCCGTCGCCCTCAGCACACTGATTCGTCGGTAGTCCGTGCCAAGCCGAGCTCCTTGTGCTCTCTATACTACTGTACTGCGACCCTCCTCGACTGAGCATGGGCCTCGGTGGAGGGAATCTTGGTATGTGAACTTGGACACGGTTGGTCATGTCTGGGCTCCAGCGGTACTGCTGCCTGCAGCTTGCATCATCAGGGGATCTTGAATTCTCACTATTTTTATCTTGGTCAATATAGATAGGCGTTGCAGCACCGTTACTGAAAACATGCCTTACGTCACCTGCTCTGCGGAACTCTCTCTTGCGAATGCCACGTCTTATCAGGTAAGCAATAAATATTGGGCTGCTTAGACCAATCATTATTATTATTATTAACAACGGACCAATTATCAAGTTCTTTTTTTCGGTTAGTACGCCTAAACGGCTTGGCGTGGGACAGTCATTTGTTGTAATCATTGATATGTAGCTGACAGCGAAATGCGGGTTCAGCTTTTTCTGTAGCTCAGACCTCGGTTTTCCATCGATGATTAAGGCATGCGGTAATTTCTCTATAAGGATTTCACTGCAACTGTTTTTATTATGCGTAGATAAAGTCCAGGATATAGTGTAATTGTGTGTATGGATTGAAGTTATCCAAATGTCACGCATCGATGCTTTGATGCCGTTGGCTTGCAAATACTCGGCAAGAGTTGATGCAAATAATATTCTATATTCTACATTAAGTATAAAGTTTCGAAACCCTCTTGACAGTTTCATAACAATTTTATGAATAGGCAGCGACCCGTCAACCAAAACATCAACTTTTATGCTACGAATTTTTACTTCACGTTTGTGGTTTCGTGCGCAGAGAAGAAATGTGAATTCGCCACGATTACCTTCCATTGGAAAACCGATTATTCTTTGTGCCGTTGGATCTAAAGAAATCCACGTGTTTGAAAACAGTTCCTTGTTATCGCTCGTCCTAAGATAGACGTTAAGGCGTTCTCTCAGGCTCCATCCTGAGTCTACGAACGCGTGACGGGGATACGTGCGTGAAAACCCACGGCCTGCCACCGCCGTAAAGCTTCCTACGTATTCGTACAGGTTTACCGAAGAGTTCTTTGTCCCATGCGAAAAATCAACAGCGGTTGTCAAGATAATAAACGTGACAAAATTTATAACCATACCACACTGAACGCCAAAGAATAAGGCAATTATCGATTTGACGAGCTTATCAGGACGGCAGGCTGTTTAAAGAGAAAATACACGCAGAAAAATCCACTCTCAATATCGTTAAACCAGAGCACAATACTCGAAACGGTCACTTCCAGATGACACGACACAACCATGAATATCCTTTGTATCTCACATAAATGAATTATTTATAGTAAATGGCCGAACTTGTTTGTTATAAATTGTTTGTGGGAACAGCAAAAAATTTTCATGTTTCCATCCCTCTTTCGATATTGGCTCTTTGGATTATCAATAGAAACCAACTCATGAATATTAATGATTGGTTAGTGCAAAACAATGGAAAACTAGCGAATGCGATCAACTCTGAGGGACAGTGTCAGCTGGTGAAATGTCAGTGGCTCATCAGCAAAACCTCAATACCTTGTTCACGCTTGTATTGGGCCTGTGTGCCTTGATGTGAAGAGTTTGTGTTAATGTTTATAATGACTTTGCCAACGAATAAGTAATTCCTCTCGGTCCCAGCATGCTAAGCTCTAACTTTGATCTTCAGGAACTTTGATTGAAACATGTCTTAAAGATGGAATATTTCATTGATTAATAAATAATGCAGGCTTTGCTATCAGCAAATGTAAATGAAAACCATAATTGCTGCTGTGTCATCGGATTTTCTCTTAATTATGAAGCATTGAAAAAGAAAGATTTAGTTTTCAAAGAATCACGTTTGCTATGACAGTAATGACATTATTGACAGTAATAAATTGTGATTAATTTCTTGTTTTACATCAAGCATTACTTTGCGCTTGCGTTGTGTCTGATTTTTAATTCAGACTTAATACGGGATTTATTAATCTGCATATTTGATTTACAACCTGATTGCCTCCACTTCTACATAGTTTCTTATAATTCAATGAACTAACATATTATTCTTTGTCGTTAGTTTCTTCTCGATCAGCTCCCGATTTGCTTTTATTAGGCTTCGTGTCAGTTGCATTATAAGAAAATGATATATGTATATATCGACTGCAGAGCTTCAAAAGGGGAATTTCTCGGGCTAGGTATTATTTAGGTCATTTATGGGATATTTTATAGGTAAAATTGACGTCTTTATATGTTAAGACTTCCACCCTCTTGTGCAGTTAAGCAGTTAAGTGCACGAAATATTCAAGAATATTAACTCTAAGTACTTGCCCGTATTTTCAGTAAAATTTTATAGGTAAAATTAACGTCTTTATATGTTAAGACTTCCACCCTCTTGTGCATTTAAGCAGTTAAGTGCAAGAAATATTCAAGAATATTAACTCTAAGTACTTGCCCGTATTTTCAGTCGACATTGAATAAGGAACTCGCAAGAAACCATAATGTGTATTATGTAAAATGTGTGAAGGGTCTAATAGAATTCTACTAATGATAAAGCACACTAAACAGAGAGGTTGCAGCCTTGCGGCTACAATGATGCAAAATTCCGGCATTGGTCAGAGAGTTTGATCAGAGAGTCAGAGGATTTTGATAATTTAGAGGTGCCCGTTAACGAGATAATTTGTTGAAAGTCTGTCTATGGGCAAAATAATCGGTGTTTTCGTTAAATGATTCAATTTCATTATTTCATTCTCATCTCGTATTATTCATCCACGTTATCCATTTAGTTACAAAGTTACAAAGTATGGTATTGATCCTAATTACAAACAAGGGTAATATATATATAAAAGAATATGTACAGAAATGGCAATTACAAAACCAGTATTGTTCTTCCATGGATTCGTGCGCGAATGGGTTATTTCCTTTGCATAGAAAATGTTTTCTTCGTTCCTTCTTATACCGGGTGAGTGTGTCGAACTTTCTAATGTCTGCAAGGATATCATTCTTTCTTTTCAAACCAGTGCAATCAAAGCTCTTTTTACTGTAGCCTAAATTCATCCTTAGTAAATGATTCCTTTCGTTAAACTTTCTTTTTTCTTTTTCTGTTGGTGTCGAAGTCATTTTTTGATTAATGAAATACTATCAACTTTCATCTTGTAATAAGTAACAAAAAATCAACTTAAATTTTGAGTGAAGACAGTGTGTGTTCTCTTTCACGTTAACCACTTAAATATGGAATCCAAACTACAGAGTTCTAATTTAGAGTTAATTACCCTGGTAATTTTATAATTTATAGTTTAAACATATTACGATTCTGATTACTGTGTTTGTTTTTGCCGATATTTTGGAAATAATTGTTCTTCACGTATTCGGAAAGACGGTTAATGGAAAGACGGTCCATGCAAGCTGGTCACGCTATCAGCTTATTCAACTGGGGCTGCTTTGCTAAATCATTGAAATGAGAAACAAAATATTGTAGTTTTTGGTGTTATAATTTTGTTGGAATTATTATGGGGAACATAGGTGTACAAAGCCAGGAAGTTTTTATCTTTTAAAAACTTCACCAAAGTTTAACAAGTGGTTTGTTAGTGGTTTTCAAACATTTACATGAAATATTCATGTATTGCTGTAAAAAATTAGGTTTCATGACTTTTCCTTTCGTTTTGTTTCGTTTCGCTTCGTTTCGTTACGCCTCGTTTCAATTGGAGAGGAGAATAATTTTTATGACACTAGAAGTTTGGAATCGATCAAATTATTTATTAGTAACACAAATCCCTGCCCCTCCCCCCTCCCTTGACCAAAGTAAAACAAATCAAGTTTCGTCGCTGGCGAGAAGCGTTCATCAGCGAATTTGTACTAACAGAAATGTTCGCATTTTGAGTAGTGTTTAAGTAAATCCATGTATAAAAATTTGATCTTGAGCATAGAAGGATTCTCTTTTATATACCAAAAGAATAAGCCTCTGCTAAATTGTAACAGAAAACAAATTGAGCGAAGAACGATGTCCTTGTTTTACCTTTTTGTCATGTAGCTTTGGAAAAATTTTTATGTCGGTAAATACGACTATCCCCCTTTAGGCACAATCAGTTATGTTTTGAAAAATTCATAGATTCGACAGTGTTTAGAAAGAGCAATACCTAGAGTATTGGTTCTCGAGGGGGATATATCATACAAGACCCACTGGAGCATTCCAGTGAGGCCTGATGATGTAATGTCTTCAGCATATGCATTAAACATAACCGCATTAACATTTCAAAAGAGTCTGTTAACAACCGTAAGTAAGCAGGACATGGATTGAGCAATTTTGCCGATATACGCTGTATTTTAAGAATAGCTGCTTAGGCAACTTACCACGACAAGAGATGTTCTCTTAGCAATGAAGCTTTCCTGGAGCCTGATTGTGACTAAAAAGATCAAGTTTCACAGTCACTTTGGTGGCTCATAACGTACATTTTGCTAATAATATACCTAAAATTATAATCCATTAAGACTGTTCTACGATTGCTGCCATCGATTTCTGAATAAGCCAGAAGATCAGGAAAATTGATCAAGTTTTGCATTGCAAATATTCTGCTACAGTTAAACTTCTAGGACAGGAGACTATAGTCTCAAGTTGCTGTGCTTTTACTATTTATACAAAGGTTTGGGACTCGCGACAGTTTCCCCTTTTGACGTCATCAATTTCGCCTGTCTAATGCGCATAAAGCGAACAAGTAAAAACATTATTAGAGTTTTGTCAAACACAATTTTGCTTCTTGAGATTCTGCATAATTGAGTTTGGTTTCTTGAGATTCTATATAAACATGAATTCACCAAAATGTACTTAAATCAATACGAAAAATTGTCTTTCAGGTTTTTAGCATGTTGAGCGTATTAGTCCTTTAAATCTGTAATATGATCCGCAGCCCTTGCACATGCATGGCAACGAAGCATGCATAATTTCATTGTCTACCTGTACCAGGGTTTCAAGTGCATTTTGCTTATACTTATAAGAACTAAGAAGTATTCCTTCAACACAATACTCCCGAGAATAAGGTACCACTCTAAAATTTCCATAAAAAACCCCTGCTTTAAGCAAAAAAGGGCTTTTTGAACAAATTATTTGCCGGTTATATGGAGATATCCGTTAGTGGGAAATGTCCATGATGCGGAGATGCCACTATTTAGGATGCGCCATTTAATGGGAGTTCCATTGTATATCAAATTCTTCAAAGTTGATTGTGTCACAGAAGTTTCAGTAGAGTTCCAAATTGATTACTTCAAAGAATTATACTTTTTGTTTTTTTTTAATTTTGGTTGTATAACCTAAAGGAGCATTATGAAATACTTTTAAATGCTGAAAATCAGTCAAATGATGTTGAAACCGGCAAAATATGGCCACATGGGCAGAGATTCATTTGCCATCAAATCATTGTAATTTTGATTTGGTTCTAAGCATATATGAACCAGGCAAAAACAACAGTAATCCATGCTCCTTGAAATCCAGGAGCGTATTGATACCTCAAATATGGGGGGGGGGGGATGTTTCCAATGATGCTTTATACATGGTATCGATCAAATCCACAAGGAAGATTATTATTGTGATCTAGTTGAGTGTTGGCATGCACAACATTTCGGCATTTTAGAATTAGGTTTAAGTTGTCTAAATATAATTGACGAAGTGTTGCATTGCAATTTGAGTAGGTATAAGGTGTTTCGGTGTTGCGTACAATAATATGCATAAATTATCTTATCGAGGAAACCCTTTATGGATGTTTTATGAAAGACACAGCAAATTTATAATCGTAGGGCCCTCTAGTTTACTTTCTCGAGCTTCTTTTGGCTTGCATTACTGCAGAATAACTAGATGAGGGGGCAGTAATTGAAGTGACAAACAATAAATGAGTTAATAATCGCCACTCTTTTTCGCTACCCATGAATCGAGCTAGTCTTTTGATTGCGTTTGGCTGAATTTCAGCTTTTTTGCAGACTTTATCAATATGCGAGTCAAATTTTAGTTGTTCATTGATTTGAATTCCAAGTAAAATTACTTCGCTATTTACAATTATTTTGAAGCCATCATTTATAGAAAATTCTGTAATGTGATTGTCATTAATACCCAAAATCAGTGACTGAAATTTAGATGGATTGGCTGTCATATGATTTGAATTAAACCAGTCAATGCATTTATTGGTGTTATGCTGTACTAGTCTATGGAGTCATCGAGATCGTATTATCATCTGCAAAGTTACATAGTTACATAGGGAGCCCTCCTGAATGTCATTAACTCGATTGACGTTAAACAATAGTAACGGGCCCATTATCCAACCTTGGGGAGCCTCAAAGTTCAAGACTTGATACTTTGGTATTCCTTACCCCTTCCCTAATTTATGATAAAAAGTAAAATAATTCGATTTTTCGTCAAAGTGTTCTAATCTGTGACGCTTTTATTAGAAATGTTGAAAGCAAAATACCCACCTGTTTAATTCCATCAAATTTTCAACATAAGCGCTGTTTTATAATCAACAAAAGCCTACTCAATGTGAAATGTGAAGTTCTAAGAAAATCAAACGTGAAATTTTCTTTAAATACCATCAGATTAAAAAAAAATAAATCAGGTAAAAGCAAAACAAACATTATAAGCTGTTCAACTCAGTGTTCCAGAGGCTTATTGAACTGAATTAACACATATTGATAAAGAAACCTGTTGATTTACACAAAACACGGAAACCGTTAGGCCATTAATCATCAACAATGGGGCAATCGACGAACACCGTTGTCGGCAAACCTGTGAAATTAGAGGCTATTAAAGTGGTACCGAGAGGTCTGAAATCCACGAGAGATCAGTGGCTTTACTCTTTCATCAAGAAGCTGAAAATGGCCACGATGACTTCAAGCGAAAGACAATGCATCGACAGACTGAGCAGAGAGGAAATTGTAAACACAACCAAGCGCCTTTGTGATGACTACATCGAGGACAGGTTGATTAGATCTGGTCTCCAGCTAAAAGAAAGAAAACTAGGAAATATCGCACAAGAGACAGTTCTGGAGGTGACAGAATCAGATTCAAGCGACTCATTTGCACATACTGCTTCTAGAAAGAGAAAGTCAGCTGTAAATTCTACATCTTTAAAACCTGCAGGTATTCTAAGATCTCTATCCACAAGCAGTAATGTGGCCCCTGACGTGCAAAGACTTAGAAGAGTTTCATGGCAAGATGAGGTAAGAGGAGTGAGAGAAAAGCACCGTAAGGTTTTTGACAAAAGGAATCCAAGTGATGTTGCCTGTCTTTTGTGCACCGTTGGTGAGATCCTTGAGTTGCGGCATGCTGGAGTTTACAACGATCTTTTTACACAACTTAACATACACATGATTTCAGAGATAACGTTGAGACGAGCTTTTATTGGGGTTGCAAAAGAAATTTTCAGGGACGGAATCAGCTGGGCCAAAGTCGTATCTTTATTCGCCTTTGCCGGGGGTATGGCTGTTGATTGCGTCTTAAACTGTGCAAACATGTATGTAGCCAGGCTGAAAAGCTGGACAGTGCAATTTATAGAGAATGATCTATGTGACTGGATTTTGCTACAAGGAGGATGGGTATGTAATTTGGGGTTACGGTTTGCTATTTCAAAGCTGCACTTCTCACCTGTCAGGGATACTTCCCTCATACCTGGTGTGCGATAAGACATAATATGGAAACTACAACACTTTGTTTCTTTTTCTAACTTCATTTAACAAATAAGCAGAGCAATCTGCTGTGGGCTTAACTCCCCAAATATCTTTAATAAATAAGATTTATTTCCCTGTTATCAAATCAATTTTAAAGCATGGCTGTTTACAGTTCTTTAAGCTTAGTTTAGGTTGCTACTAAAGAATAATTTTTCTTCCAGCACACCAATAAAATCAGTAAGAAATCTCTGTTCCATAGATTATGGGGGAATGACATGTTTGTTTTCTAATCTTTTTTTGTTTTTTCAACATTTCCCATATCCAATACCCAAAAATTAATTTAGGATTTCATTAACCAAAATATATGTGAGTACCCTCTGGGACATAGTCTTTACACAGATGTATGAAATATCTCTTTGTAATTATTAAGATGTGCCAAAAAGAAGATGTAGACAAATCATAATTTCTCAAGACAACCAGAAAATTTCCACAAAAGCTCTTCTGAGCTCTATACCATTGTTAATTACAGTTTGGAACTTTAAAATAATATTAATGCAAATTTCATTGTTAATATTTGGCTCAACTTTTTCTAACCCTGCTTTGGTATGCTTCCCTAACTACTTTCCTTAAGTTTTCTGATGTATGGCCATCAAAATACATCATTGAAAAGGCTTGTGGATAGTTCTAATCAGTGGCAACACCAAAGGGGGAAACATCCTCCCAGTTCCTAGCAGGATCAATTTTGTATTTTGTCTAAATTCCATGAGAAAAGTTTAGGGGAGGGGTAATATTTTCTGTTAATGTATTTTTTGTCATGTAAACCTATGGTTTTGAAACTGCCTTTACGTAACCAACAGTTGATCATGGGCTTTCCTGGTTGGCAAAATTGCTGTTCTTTGTTGTTAAACAGGCCTTTTTTGACAGTAAAAAAGGCATGGCCTAAGATATTTTGTCTTTTCCCCCCCCCCCCCCTCTAGAGCATAATGGCTGGCTCCCCTACTGGTTCTAATTTGTTCACACTATGTCCCTTTTCCTAAATATGAAGAATGTTGAAAAGGAAGCAACATTTAAACACACTCTTCTCTCATACCCCCTTCCAATACAATGCCATGTAAAACGCACATGTTTATAACTTTAAACTTTTATTTGGCTTTTAGTGCCTTGTTGAATGCATCACAATATCTTGAATTGTGAGCTCAAACATAACGCTCCATCCATACATATCCTTCAATATGTTAGCCTCAAAGCACCTGTGCTTATATTGTCTTTACTGTCACTTAATTATATTTGAATTTGGAAAATGGTAATTGGTTTCTTACCCTTCAAGTTATTATTTCCAACCTTTGGATTTTTTTACAGGGTGGACTTGTGGAATCCTTTGTACAAAATCAAAGACCTTTGGTGCCACTAACACTGTTAACTATTCTGTCCTTGTTTGTGTTGGTTGTAGCATTTCTTGTGAGCAATATATTAAATCAGAAGTAGAACCATGGGAAACAAAAATATACAAAGAAATAAAGATGTGTCCAGGTTCTATATGAAAGGTGAAATTAATTCTCAATTTATGAACTATGTGATTACGCAGTGAACTCTCAGCTTCGCTTACACCAAATGTGCACAACCCTATTGGTTTACAGCCATCTAATAAGTTCATTAATATTTGGGATTGTCATTCTTCATTTGCTAAAAGGCAAGAACTTGATCTATAGCATTCTTTGCAAGAACATAAAGTGCTTATATTCAAACATAGATTAAAAGCTTAGTCTGTGAAAATGTCCACTCTAGTTGTGGGGATTTTCATATCAGATCTTAGATCAAGATTGAGCTATTTTTTTGAACAAAAAATATGGCTTATTAAAAACCTTTTACAGCCAAAGTCAGGCAGGCCTCATTGAAGCTCCTTTCACAAAGCAATTTCTAAAGAAATGCCTCATAACATTTTTTAAAAATCTAATTCCTGTGTCTAGCATTGTGCTTTTAACTGCTGTGAATATGAGTTTAGCTTATTACAAAACTTTTTTCGAGATCTTGGTTCCATTTAATTTTTTAATTGATGCCAATTTAAAGTTTAATAGGTATAGTTCCATTTGTCCATATAATTTTTACGTAGTATTACTAAGGACCATAGAGCATATAATGGATGGAGGCTATGGCCTAATTCAGGACTCAATATGCTGAAAGTCAAGAACAAGATGATTCATGGTTTCAAGAACATTCTGAGTATTATTTGGGGCAAAGCCCCCTTGCACCTAACTACATCTGTGGTCCTTGGAATAGCATAAAATACAAATATTCATTAATTTAGCCATTTTATAGAGGTATTTTATTAATCATATTTGAGGGTGTTCAACTAGAATTTATTACAAATGAGTGTTTATATAGTTAACATACATATTTTCAAAATGAAACAAATTTGGGGCATTGTAACTAAAGATTTATTGGGTTTTGATGTTATATTAAAATCAGATTTGATTAAAGAAGATTATCTGATTTATGATGTAGTAAAGCTTTTAGAATGTTTACCTGAAATTTTCTGGATTAAAAGAATATTTTATTGCATTCGGAAAAAGTACCCTATTTTGCACACTAATTCTGACAGTCTTCTACGCTATTGTAATCATATAGCTGTCAATGACATGTTTTTCATTCAACTGGATATTTAGAGTAAATAAGTAACACCAGTAATTGCAGACTATTTGGATGTCTCAATTCTATATCATGCTTGAGACTGAGAGATACTTATCTTGTTTATTAAGATTATGTATATCTTTGATGGTTATGGAAAAGTATGTTATGGTGAATGGCGATTTTTTAACTGGGTGTCATCAATAGGATGAAAAGTAGGATATAGTTGCTTTGTCTACATACTCTTATCTGGTCAACAAAGTGACAAATAACATTTTAGATCAGTTTTTAATGATACATGGCAATGCAAACCTTGGCAAAACCAATGAACCACCATGCAGCAGGGATATATTTTGTTTACTTGCCACATGTAAAATACAAAAATTATAAGGCCAACTGATTAATTGTTTAGTTATACATAAAAAAATTCAGAGATAGGACATTTTGATGGTGTGTTTATCTAAGTGGTATGAATTTAAAACCTATCCTAAATATATTTTGGGTAAATGCTTTATTTTTATAATTCAAGGTTTGCTGAAAAAGAGCAAAAGGAGTGAAGTGATAAATTGCAAAGGAAATTTATAGAAGTGGTGTCTTAGAGAGAGATAAGATTCATTCCGACAAAATAAAATACATTTCATTAAAGGATGTTTATGTAAGGAAAAACGGCTGACAACATAAAAATAAGCATTTAAGATGAAACAGAAAAATTAACTACAACAGCCCTAATGCTCGCATCTACATGTCAAAGCTCGTCATGTTGTTCTGTTTTTCCATTAATTGGAACAAATTCATTGTCCATTTCCTCATCCTCATCTGCAACATCTTCAGGCTCTTCTTGTTCCTCTTCTTGTTCCTCTTCATCATCTCCGACCAAATATCTCTTGGTCCTTTCTCTTTTTTCTTCTTCAAGCATAGTGTCAACATCACCCTCATCATAATCAGATGGCTTCTTTGCCTGTCTGTAGATTTCTGGAGTAGCAGCCTCTTCTCCCTCCACTTGTCGTTCATTGTATTTTTCGAGAGCAATTGGCAAATTGCGCTTTGCCATTTCTTGAGAAACTGTATTTGCATTTTCCCCACCAAGAATGTCAAAAAATCTGTTGCCAAATGTTTGGGATCCTTCCAGGCCTTCTACATAGACTTCAAGGAATTTTTCTCTTGATAAATTACCTTTGTGCTTTTTCAAATGAAGCAATAGTGTTTCTTTTATTGCTTCTGGGTCTATGCTGTTATATTCAAACCATGGAGCATTTGATGGGTCAACCCTTTCAAAGCACATGGCAGCAACTCTCAACTTCTCTTTAGAAAATGCTCTTATCATTTCTTGTGTAAGATTTTCTGCTCCATTTGTCAAAGTCTCATAAGCCTTTGTGGCATAATCTCTAGCAAACTTGATATCTTTCTCGGAATATATTTTATGAACTGCCTTTATAAGTCTTTTAAGAGTGTATATACCTTTTTTGTTAACATTTTCAAGCATGCCAATTCGAACATCTTCAAGGTCAGCATTTCCCATAGAGAGATCTCCTTTACCTGGGTACATCCAATCAACAATAAAATCACTTAATGGCTTTGATTCTTGGGTCACATTGTCACAGTCACTAAAATCCAGATCCCTTTTCTTGTACCTGTCAAACCTGGAAAACAACAGGGCAACAGCAACATTGTTTGATCCATATGACAACACATTATGGTACATCCCTTTGGGGAGAAACAAACAGTCTCCCTTCTCAATCTTTGTAAATTGCCATGGCACTTGTGAAACCTTTGGGTACTTATGTAAGTCCACAGAATGCACATTTATTTTAGAATATCCTCCAAAGGAAGGGGCAGCTTCCCATGCCTTGTAGATGTTCTTCTCCTGCTCTAAAGCAATCAGTTTCCACTCCTTGGTCCCATTTAAAAGACAGTTCACTGTATTAAAAGCATCTTTGTGTAAGACACTGCTTGCATTCCCACCATTCATCCAGAAATCGACCTCTACCATTTGATGCCTAAATGTTCCACAGGTCATAAATGGTAACACACCAGCTTCATGGTACATTGGCTCTGGTAACTCTGTTACAATATATCCCTTGTGGTCTGGATTATGATAACTTTTTACAAAATGCTCCATTGTGTCCCTTCCAACACCCAAAACTCCATATGGTGTTCTGCCAAATTTCTCTTTCCGTCCCTCGAGTCGCAGCTCAAAATCCCCATAGTTTTTAATCAAATATTCGTCGGTCCATTTAGTGTAACCTCCCCAACTCTTGGTGGCACCCCTAAAAACTGCAGGCTTTGATGGTTTGACAAATTTCTTCCAAAACTCTTCCGGGGTTGGATAACTGCCTGGGTTAAATTCAGGAACGGTATCTGGATCAGCATGACCTCCTAAAGGCTGCAAATGGCCTCTGGGTAGATTCTGCTCCATTTCAGAAGAATAACATAATTTCAACTCAACAACAGCAAATAAATAAAGATAATGCTGCCAACCCATCATGATTGCAGTTACACAGAAAACTGCTTACTGTTCAAAACTGCTTACTGTTCAATTGCTCGTCCGGAGGTGAGGAAGTTTCTTTGAGAAACGGAATTTCGTTGTTGTTGCTGAACTGTTCCTTGTTATTGAAATTTTCCTGTTTTGAAATCGAAAGGGAGGTTCTTGTTGCTACTGAGTTGCCAGGTTGGCCATATAATTTTATGACACTTAATATTAGGGTTTTGTCCGTTTCTTAAGACTTTTTGACATACTGTTCGTAAGTCCACTCTTTTGTTATGGTCCCTACTATCTTGACAAAAAAACCCTCACAAAGTTTGCTTACATATCGATTAGAAAAAAGTTTTGACGAATACACGGCCATATAGGGTACCGTTACCGTCAAAAGTATGCAAATGCTTTTTTGTAAAGTTGTATCTTGCATTTATAAAAAGGTACCATCTGTTTTCTGAAATTGTACTTTTTGTTTCACCAAATGGTACATAGTTTCGAATAATGGTACCCTCTGTTTTATAAAATGGTATCTTTTGCTTCATTAAATTGTACCTCGTTTGAAAAAATGGTGCCCGCTGTTTTATACAATTGTACCCTTTCTTTTGTAAAATGGTACCCTCTGTTTTTTAAAATGGTAATGCTTGTTTTGGGAAATAGTACTCCTATGCTATAAAATGGCACTTTCTTCTTTGTAAAATGTTACCATCTGATTTATAAAATTGTACTTCCTGTTTCATAACATAGTAGATTTTGTCTTAACCTGATATCCTTTTATTATTTGGATCCTGGAACTACCAAACATAGAGTATCAAGAGTACTAAGACACAAAAGGCCCGAGGATCTTAAATGACATCTTTTGAAAGCACAATGGAAGCGCTCATAGAAATTGTACGCCAAAGTATCGAAAAAGTATGTTTTAGTTTAAATGCTAATAATAATATTGATTTTGGTGTTGTTTTAATATTGGTTGATTTTGGTTGATTTTGTTGTGGATGCCATCAGTTTCATTGACTCAGTAACACGCTTGCCTGAAGACATCTATTCAGACGCTCTAGCTAGGGTGCCATTAACCTACACTGGACACTAGGGTAGACCATCTTTTGACATTTCGGAGCTGCAGATTTTGTCTCTACTGGATTTGGGGTTCTCTGTCCCGCAAATCAGCAGCCTGTTGCATGTTTCCATGAGGACAGTTGAAAGACGAATTTCATTTTACGGCTTGACGGTAAGGGGGCATAGCCAATTTCCAGAAGAGGCATTGGATGTTAGAATTCCAGAAATTAAACAGTTCAATCCAAACTGTGGTTCAAAGGTCCTTGCCGGTTAACTTGCAGCGCAAGGTATAAAGATTTCGAGGGAACGGATTCGACAGTCTTTACGAAGAGTCGATCCTATTGGTGTAAATGCTCCGACTGAAAAGAAGCAGTGGCATCACTTGCCGGGGTATTTGAAACCGTTGTCGTTGGAGTTGAAGAAAGCCGTGATGCAACCCTAGACAAAAGTCGAGCAGCATCTGCAAGTTCTTTATCGGTCATTCCTGTGGCCGGGAACACACCGAGACACCACGGTACTGCTCTTTGCTGCTCTGCTGTTTCCAAGACTCCAGAAAAAATATCACTTTACAAAACAGAGGGGTACCATTTAACGCAGCAGAAGGTATCATTTTACAAAACTAATGGACCATTTTATAAAACAGAGGGTACTCTAATGAAACAGACGGTACAATTTGAGAAAACAAATGGTACCATTCTATAAATGCGAGGCACAATTTTACAGAAAAGAATCTTTGTAAAATTAGCTTTGAAAGTTGTAAACTATTGTAAAAGTTGTAAAGCAGATTCGCAAAAAAAATTCAAAGTCAAAGACAGTGTTTGGTGGGGGGGGGGGCAGCCTTGATAAATAAGTGTAACAACAGCCATATTTACAAAATAAAAGCATTTTACTTATGCAACTTAAGTTTTTTAGGGGGCTAAGACCCCTCTTCCGCTCCTTCCTTCCGGTATCTCGGTTCTTGTTCGTAACTGTCTGGATACGTTCGTGAGGGGAGTGCGTTGTTATCAATTTTCAACAGAACAATATGGAAAACATTACATTAACAAGTCTTAAGATTTAAAATACATAATCTTATATGGATTGAAATACAGAGAGGGATGCTATTTGCATATAAATATATACACGTTAAGCAAGGGGTATATATATACGTATTCAATATTTTTATATAAGTTAATATTAAGAACTTCAAAGTTAAGGACGTCAGCTTTACAAAAAGAACTGCAAAGGCAGAGATTTATTCACTCATGCCCATACACTACCAAACGATCATTGAAAACAACAAATACCATTTTACAATCCCAAAAAAATTTAAATTACATTGGGAAAATGTCCTGGATTTTAGACCCTGAAGTCAAACGAGATAAAGTATTTCAAGACATTACAGCAGTGAGAGAAGATTGAATTTCATAACCTGCTAACAAATAAAGAGAAAAAGTATAATGATGATGATCATGGTGGACGAGATCATTTGAATGTCATGTTGAATGTTTCATCATGTTTTCAAATGTCTTTCAAGAAGTCTACTCCTGATCAAATATGTTTTGATCAAAGTTTTTCTCAGCCCGATTGATTTTTAGGCTAGAGAAAATTTCTAAATTAAATTCCGAGTGCCTTGGTGTTTGAAAAACGCTTGGCAGACCAAGATGTTATGCCAATTCATTTTTTTCAATTCCTTGTTTACTAATAAAGTCTAACCGTCCCGATTTCATCGATACATTTCTATGACAATACCTGGAGAAAATCCATCCAATTATGTTGTATATGCTAAAATTAAATTCCATGACACAAGGTAATCATTTACAACTACCAAAAAACTTTCCACCAGTAGATATTTTTAAATAAGAATAAGAATATACTAGTAAACATTACTCGAAAGTTGCCAGCAACCTGAAAACCTCAAAATTTCACTATAAGCGTCAAAATACTCTAATTCTTTGTCGAAACCATTGCACTGCCTCAAGTAGTAACAGCATAAAGCTAGGCGCACACGAGAGCATTTTGCCTAAGCAAAGTGTCATTCGTGGCACTTTTCTTAAGCATTTTTGTCCTGTGTGCGGAGACTTTTCAGTAAGAATTTAGGCATTCGTGACCAAAAGCCAAGTATTCAACATGTTAAATATTTTTTGTCATTCGTGTCACTTTGCTTCACGTGTGCGGCGAACGAAAGCATTTTGCTTACGACTTAGCAAAATTACGCATGTGCAAGTAAGAGTTGGCGCATTGCAGTGACAGTATAACTTTCTTGTTTGCGTGATAATGTTGCAAGATGCGACGTTTTTGTAGGCACTGACCTTTTATCGAATCTATTTGCTATTAGACATAAACTCGGGGGTGGCTACCTTGATATGTTTTGAGGTACGGAGACGTACCATTATTTAGGGGTTCCTTTTTTCTGAAAAGTGCGAAATCATGGGTATTAATTTTTTAAAATATGTTCGGTATCTGATCAGTATCTGAGGATATGATTTCCACCATCCTAAATGAGATCTGCTAGAAGCCACCAAGCATGGCCTAAGCAAGTCATGCACGACATCCATACTTGGGCAAATGGTTTTTAAAGGCAATCCCTATACAAAAAGTGGATCTTGTCGTGTGGTTGATGCTCCTTGCGAGAACGCACATCAATCTGAAGATGATGAAGAAAAAAACCGAAGTAGCCCCAATCAAAACTTCACCAAAGTCACCCGAAGGTAAACAAAACTTATCTTAGGCCCCTTCGTCACGTTGAACCCTCCGCAGCTGATGTCCAAATGCCAGCTATGCAGAATTGCCAAATTTTGGCATTTATCAAAGCTTCTCGCAGATGCAAGTTGTGTCGCAGAACTACATCTGATAATTGTCAAAGAAAGAGAAATTAATCAAAAGCTGCAAGAGGAAAATCTTTGCTTTAGGAAGAAACTGGGCCTAGATGAAGGTGGTATTCAGACGACGGTGACTCAAATTAGGACAAAGGAAAAGGAACAAAAGAAAAGCAGAAAGAGAAATAAGAAAACAAAAGAAGTTCCTGATGGCAAAGGGCAGCCTTGCAACTCTAATGAGAATGCTGCAGCATCAGAGCCCAATGATGACAGCAAAGTGCAGCCTGATAACTCCCTGCAGAATGGTGAACAAGAAGAGGATATAGTAGAAGACAATGAAGATGGCAACGTAAATGATACCACAGAAAGCAAGACAGTCCCCAAAGAGAAAAACACAAAGCATGATACTTAAAAGGAAAGAACGAAAGATGCCAAGCAAAAACACAACTGTTATTTTCGGAGATTCTATGATAAAGAACGTTAAACCTTGGGAGCTACAACATCGTTGTGAGAAGAATGAGAGGATTTATGTGAAATCTTTCAGCAGAGCAAATGTTGAACAAATGAAACATTATGTTAAACCAACCATCGAATATAAACCAGATGCCATTATTTTGCACGTGGGTACAAACAAACTGCGGAATAAGAAGAAAAACGAAGTCCAAATTGCAAAGAAGTTCATTGGTCTTGCCAAATCAATCGAACAAGAGAAAATATCGATCACAGTTTCGGGCCTAATTGCGAGAAAGGGTAAATCTTAGAAAGAAAAAGAAGAAAAAAAGGTAAATGTTATTCTGGCTGGTATGTCTTTCGAGAACAAACTTCGATACAACGATCACCAAAACATTGACTCTGCAAAACACCTGAATCGAAGTAAGTTGCTTCTTTACTCTCATGGAGATAGCAATTTGATGGACAACCTTTTTAAGGCTTCAAGGCTATGACTGAATGAAAACATTAGTAAAAAGAGGTATGAGGAGGGAGATTGAGGATGACACAGCCACAGCTTCCTGTGCCAATGCCCCTCTCTCGTCCCCCAGGTCTGGCTCGTGTGTTGGAATGGAAGATGAGATCGAGGTTGGCGGGGCCGGATTTCCCTGTTGCGGTGTCCCTCCCTAGTCCTCCCCGTCCAGCTCACATTTTGATAATATTAACTATGAAAATAATTGCGCTAATGTAGAACCTAACGAAGC